GGGCCTGCGCTCTGGGTCTGTTCAGGATCCCGCCAGGCCCTCGGTCGTGTCCAGCGCCGCAAGTTTGAGGCCAGCCTGAACTACCCAGCAAGATGCTGTCACAAACAAACAAACATAAATAAAGATAATGATGTAGATTAAAAGTAAAAGAACGGAAGCACTCCACAGAAGTGCTGACGGGACTGGAGAGGCTGTGCGAATGTCACGCAGCGTAGACTTCGGAGCTAAGGAGCTTTCACGAAACGGAGAGAGACATCACATCCGATGCAAGATAAGGTCACCGAGAAGCCACCGCTGTCCTAACCGGGTTTGCATCTGACAGAGAGCTTCAGGATGCACAGAGAAAACCGGATAGAACCCGACAGACAGAGACAGATAAGCCCACGACTGTAGCTTTGCAGACAGAAACCCCGAGGGGCATAGAAGAGCCAGAGGGCACCCTCCTCCAGCCGCATGTGGGTGCTCCTCGCCAGCGTCTACCAAAGAGCCGCAGAGGGGGGCTTGCAGGGGCACGGGGAATGGTCACAGGACAGACCACATCCCGGTCAAGGTGATACTTTAGCAAGAGTTGAAATTATGCAAGGTACAATCTCTGATCATAATGGAATTAAACCAAAAATCATGAACAATAAAAATATAAAAAGTACTAGACACGGGAGGCGGAGGCAGGAGGGTTGCTGCGAGTGTGAGGCTGGCCTGGGCCACTGCGGGAGTCCAAGGCCACCCTGGTCTACACAGTAAAACCTGTTTCAAAAACCAAAGGAGATAAGCAGAAACAACAGAATCAAACAAGCAAAATATTACCAAGCAATACATTTCTAAATAATCTTTAAGTTTTAAGAGGAAACCGCAAGAGAAAACAGAAGGTACTTTGATCTGAACGGAATGGAGACACAACGTAGCAAACTGTGTAAGGTGCAGTTAAATCAGGTGTCAATAGAAATTTGTAGCGCTAAGTTCTTACATTGGAGTCAAAAACTTAAAATCAATCTAATCTTCTCCCTTTAGAAGCTAGAAAAGCCAAATAAACCTGAAGCGTGAGGAAAAGTCAATAGTACAGTGCAGAAACCACTGAAATGAAAGACGGGAACACAATGGACTGAAGAAGCAGCAAGAATGGAACAGAAAACCCGATTCTTTGAAAAGGGCCCTAAAACTGATGAGCTCTTGACAGGACGGCAAGGAAAAAAGAACCCAGATCACAGCGTGAGGAACAAAGAAGCGCAAGCCCTGCGGCCCACACTGTGAAGGCCGGGGCGGCTTTGTCCCTGTGTCCAGGGACACCTGAGAAACAGCGGCGACTCCCCGGCCTCCGTCAGCGGCCAGCCAGACTGCCGAGTCACTCTGTGACCATCTGGGAAATGTAATTCATTGTTTAACACCTCTCGGGGAAATAAGTGTCCATGCCTGGTCATCTTGAATTCTAGACATTTACAGGAGAAATACCAGCAGTTTTATGCATTTTTTTTCTAGAAAATAGGCGAGGTGGGGGAGGTTCCTGATTCATAAACTCGGCTGACATTGCCTTGATTAAAACTAGTGCATATGGAGAAAGCAAAACCGCAGACCCCTCGCTCTCATCGTAAGATGCAAAATCCTTAAGCAGGATCTTTGCAAACTGAGTGAATTAGATGTGACAGAGGTACGCACTGTGAGGGGGCTCCCCTGCACACACAGCGGCCTGCTGTCCCTTTCAGAATCCACGGAGGTCATTCACCGCAGTCGTGGCTGAAACGAAGAGCTCAGAGCTTCAGCCGCAGAAAAGGCCTCAGACAAAATTCAGCAT